CGGATTATCTGGGAAGATACAGGTGTTCTTCAGTCCGTAGATGCTTAATTTGCCCTGTCGTGGGTGATAAATATAACTTCAAAACAAGATTGTGCCAAAGTTGAAAAAAAAACTCGATGTTGAACTATTAATGAGCAAATGTATTCTGAAGCTACCCTTTTTAACTAGATATCTGTGCCATACGGTAAAGCAAAGAGTAAGATAGTGACAGTACTAATCAATGAATACACTTTCTTGTATTGCAGAGATGCATTACTTTAAGGAGCATCCGTCGAGTTGCTTCACGGATTACGAGCATTATTTCATGTGCTTGCAGTGCGGTGAAGAAGGTCAGTATTGATTCCAGCTTAATACTTTCAGCTGCAATACAATCAAATATCAGTATAAAATCATATTATTAAATGTATTCGTTAAGCGTCGCATGAAAAATTGATTCAAAAACGCCGGATTTCAATTATTGGGAAGATATTTCGATTCGCAATTACCTTATATAAAATCGTTTGCTGTCATATGTTAATAGTGTGCATGTTTTGTCGACCTTTGACGCCACTAAAATATTTCCTAGACATTGACATACAAATAGAACTCGAACCTCCGGGAAACATTCACCAAATCGTACTTTTTTTTCAAAAAAGTAAGGTAAAGATCACGTTTCCCATTGATAAAATCAAAACTAACAATTTCATGATCGCTTTGATTTGGGGAAGGCTTCAATTGTTGCCAATTTTAAACAAGAGATGCTATTAATGTCGATTATTCTGCATGGGCAATGTAGCATAATTAATGCTTTCCAATTCACTCTTTTCAGGTCCAAAGTATATATGGGTTCACAGTCGTAATCCACATCCCAACTGCAGAAGACATTCTACGAGTACACAACAAGCTTGTTACAATCGGTGGTGGCTGGAGCAGTTCCCTTTTTTATCCGACTGTCTTAAATTGAGCATGCCAGAAACAATTGCTTACTAAAATGCTAATGTCTACATATTTGTTAACCAAGTGTGTTTATACTTACATATTAACAAATATATATCTATTATATGTAATCTATGTTATACAATGTTAAACATATCGAAAAGTAACCCAGTAATCGCATAACCAACAAAAAATGCGAGTTATGAAATAAGCTTGTTATAACTAATGGCATCGGCCTTTAACTTTAGAACAGCAGAATGAAATTGCTAAAGCAAGAACATTTCAACAATAAAAAAATATTTAATCATAGTCAGCTTTTGTCTTTTCATTTGCGAAAAACGCAAGTTATAGGACTATGTCCGAAGTGTGTTTCAGTTACACGTTTCATCCGGCTAATCTCAGGCTAGAATTTGACTTTAGATCAGAAAATAACAGGCGACAGCAACAACGCATCCAAACCGGACACCGGATTCTGCATCAGTGCCTTTTACATGCGAATCTTGTGGTGAAACTCGTGAGCATGGCTTACAAACATTTTTTGGCTGCTTAAGACTTTTACGCAAAGAGCGGCAACTAAACTTACTTTACGAGTTTATATACGGCATACGACATTTTGTGCTACTTAGATAGAATGAAACCGGAGGGTTGATGTTGAACGTAAAGCTATAAGCTATTTAAATATAAAACGAATTTAGAGCTAAAACTATGTTTTGCGTTAATTTTGCGTTAAACTTCATAACGATACACCAATTTAACTGCAGAATGCCCCGCAACAATCGTGCAATGTCATTTAGTCTTTCAGCACAGCTTGAGGATTAGCAGTTGGGCATTATGGAGCTTGACAGATTCGAAATTTCAAATCGAAAAAACAAACGGACCTTCTATTTGTGACGTCATACGGACTGCCATTGTCAAATGGTCAATCATGACGATTGGAATGGTCAAACTCTCCTCGGATGCAATACTTGCTTTCAAAGATGCACCATAAATATGAGTTTGCAAATGTGACAAATTATCAACGTGTTCGGCTAAGATTCTCCTTGAAATCGTGATCTTCAAAATCTTTCTACCTAAAATATTAGTGAAACCAATGTCGATGTTTCAATAGTTGTGTCAAAATTCAGACCAAAAACAATGAGCACGAAATGACGACCATTACCTACTTTCACGACCTTTGACCGCTGTTCCCAGCAACAATTTCACCGATCTTTGAGCGACGCTAGCCCACGCGCGCCGTTTCAGAGTTAGTCAGTTCGCGCGGTTTCTATTCGTACCTGCTTTGAAGAGCTCGCTATATGTAAATGTTGCTTTTATAGTCTTTTTATTATTATCAATTGAATATAGAATAACTTATGTATCTTCACTGCTAAACAAGAGACCTGCTTTGTTGCATAGTGTACTTCCAACGGGAGTAACTCGGACCAGCGTTTCCCTGGATAGGGAAGTTGTGTCTTTTTACAAAAGCTTCTTCAAAAAAAGATGATATGGTGCGTCGGTAAAGCATTTGCTCATTGCACATGAGTACACCAATGCGGCATTGGTCTGATAGTCGGGTTCCTGCTGGTCCCAGAATCATAGTTTTGCATAGAAAGATGTTGTAGACCTATGTAAAACTGCTGCAGACGGTCAGAGAAAGGCTATATGAAGCAAGTGCAGCAGCAAGTACTCACCTTGGTCGGCAGATCATTGAAATTGAGCCACTTCTAGTGGGAATTCAGGTTTGAAACAAAATCTCAAGGGATTGAGGGAATGTGATGGCGCTAGAAAATTGGAAGAAGATTAAAAGTTTCCTTCGGAACAAATGTAAGTTTAGTTGGAACACGGTAACAGGAAGTTATCTCAACTTTCAAAACTTTACAGGTACGAACCGAGGCAATTTTAAGTCCCTACTCATTACCAACACCTGATTAAATAGCAATCATGTTTTTGCAGAGATAGTTACAAGCTTGAAATTGGTAAAAAAAAGAATGAGTTGTTTGCTAATTATCGTCTGCAGACATATCTCTACATATGGATTTTGCCGACTGGATCATTCTGGAATGTGTAAAAAACGACGAGTATTAGGCGGGACTTGTCACTCGCCGACTAAGCGCACAAACATTTATGGCTCCGGACGCCGTTTAATAGAAGTGACGTAATTGTGACCGAATAAGGCGATTTATGGACCTTTCCAGACCTTTGACCCCCGTAAAATTCTTCCTATACTTTGCCATTACAAAATTTTCGGTGCTTGTTTTAAGAGTGGTTTTGCGAGATGGCGCCTGTAAAACGGGGTATTTTTGTTTCAAACCATCATTCTGATTCATAACATTCAACAATCTGTTTTTTAAAAGTACCGGTAAAGAATTTTAGCCTAGTCTATCGCAGCTATTTCTACACTAATTTTTGATTACTGCAATTAAACTGAAGACAAAGTGATCATTGAATCATTTGATATATATTTAGATATCCTAAACACAACTAAAACCTAACGAACAGATCGCGAAAACCAGGTAATGTTTAGGACGACGTCTGAAATTCTGTCTGAACAGATGCGAAACTACGTCACTCTTTGCATCTTGCTGATCGGCCAATGTCACGAAGTAAACAAGGAAGTCGATGCTCGGGAAATCATCCATCCAGTCCGCAATTTTCCATTTGAAGCCCCTGTTCCTGGAGAATCCTGAACATATTCAGTTTCCAATTTCTAAAAACATTATGTATCACACATAGCAATTTTTAGAACATCAGTTCTCTTAGAAACTCGCGTTTAGCGGCATCCGGCCAGACCAGTCCAACTTAGCAATTACAAATTTCGGCGCTCCGGGAGTATGTGTACCAAGATGGCGCACAATCTGAACCCTAACCTGTTACAATACTATGTTCAGATTGTGCGCCATTTCGGATATATCGGTCTTCACTTAGCTTAGCCGATACCGAAAATTGGCCGATTATTGCCGATACCGATACATAGGTACATTTCTAATATACACTTGTGTAGACCGTGTACCCGGTCGAAGAGCACTGGTTTAAATAAGGCATTTTTGTGAGTTTCACCAAACGAGCCGCATTTAAAACTGCAATGCTCCATATCGCGCTTCGGTGATGGTATGACAAGGTTTCAGTTGTGTAACTGCGCGCCGACTTTAGCGAAAAGATTTGAAATATGCGCCTCCTTAGCACTCGTAAAATATATTTGTTCAAAAGTCTTCCAGTGACTTGAATTATCTTCAAGACTGAAAATATGGAACTATATTAATTGCAAAAACGATCTTTCAAAATAATATTAAGAAGAACCACAAGAATTTTAGTGAAACGATTCATTTGTCGGTTCCATGTCCAATAGCAAAGTTATTTGTCAACCGTTCGTCTGAGTAGTTACATTTCTTTGTTTTTGCAAATTATTTCAATCCTGCTTCTACATTATACTGTTTTTTTAAATCGGGTTCTTTGTTCTATTTTTTTATTTTAAAAATACAATTAAAAACTGACTAATAACATACAAATCCACAAAATCAATATGATGTTTGACCACGTTGTCTGAATATCTGTAAAAATGTATCCAAGCAGACGTTAAAACGTTGGTTCTCATGTCGCTATTGACATCTTGACGATTAGCCAATGCTAGTGGAGTAAACAAGCAAGTCTATGCTCTGGGAAACTTATATTGGTATGAAATTTTTTTTCTCAGGGGTTTAGCTAAGAATGTAGCACATCATGATTGTGAAATGAAAATAAATAATGCATTCAAATTCAAGAAGCAGCCGGGGTCCGGATTTAATACTCGAAAGATCCGGATTCGGACTGCAGTCCGCCATTTGAGTAGCTCTGGTGTAGCCTACTACACAGCCTACGACTAACCGTATGAGACGTGACGCTGAATCCAACTTCAGACATAGTCCCCACGACTTAAGTTTTTTGCAAATTAAAAAGATTGTTGAATATCATAGTAATTGGTATTAGTTGGCCTAAAGTTAACCTATTTTCAACAAAGGAGTCATGAAAAGACATAGTTATTGCTATTCATATTCATCAATTAGTGGCAAAAGGTGGCTATTATTTTATTCCATCGAATAGATAAAATATACTTGGTTAACAAATATGTAGACATTATCATTTTAGTAAGCAACCGTTTCAGTCATGCTAAATTTATGACAACCGGATAAGTACAAGGGAACTGCGCTCCAGCCACCTCCGATTGTAACAAGCTTGTTGTGCACTCGTAGAATATCTTCTGCCGTGGGATGAGGATTACGACTGTGAACCCATATGTTTTTAGGACCTGAAAAGTGAGAATTGGAAAGCATTTATGATGTTACATTGTCAATGAAGAACGATCAACATTATTAAATCGCTCGATTTAAAAATGGCAAACACTGCTGCCTTTCCCAATTAGCCTTGTAAGCAAACCTTCTTACTTCCTCAATCAAACCAGCATTAAGGCGATCATGAAATTGTCAGCTCCGATTTCACCATTACTATTTTGAAAATAGTAAATCTGATGAATGTTTTCCGGATGTTCGAGTTTTATTCATGTGCCAATGTCTGTGAAATATTTTCGTGGGGTCAAAACATGTACACTATTAACAGATGACAACGAACGATTAGTTTTGGTGCTCGATTTTATATAAAGTAATTGCGAATCGGAATATCTCTCAATAATTAAAATCCGGCGTTTTAAAATAAATCTTCCATGCGACGCTTAACGAATATATTTAATAACATGATATTATACTGACTTTTGATTGTATTGCAGCTGAAAGAGTCTAAGTGAAATCAATACTGACCTTCTCCACCACACTTCAAGCACATGAGATAATGCTCATAATCTGTGAAGCAACTCATCGGATGCTCATAATTGTATTGAAGCACTGCAATGCAAGAAAGTGTATTTATCGATCAGCTTTGTCACTATCTTTCTCTATGCATTAACGTTCGACACAGATAACTAGTATAAAGACTGTAGCTTGAGAATATGTTTGTTCAATAAAAGTTAAACATTAAAGTTTTTTTCAACTTTGTCAGTATCTTGTTTTAAAGTAATATTTATCACCAAAGGCAGGGAAAATTATGTATTTACGGACTGAGGAAAGTCAGTATCTTTCTGTGTCAACCAGAAAAATGGCACTTAAAATAGTAAATAAAAAATTTATCATTGTTGTTACCATTTTGAGTTACATGTTGAGTTTTTGTTTTGGCTGCCGTGTTATATATATATATTTGCTACTTGATTGTTTTTGAGTACATCTGATTTGATCAATTTTTTATCTAGAATAATTTAGCAATGCGAAATATAGTGATAATAAAATTATCATAGCATAAAAGTTATCATAAGAATTTACCTTCCGATTCATGTTCACTTGCTCCGTTATGTTTTGCCAAATTTAACCACAGAAATTCTACAACAAATAATTATTTGTTAAAAAAGTCCAATATACTTTAAATATAAATTTATTAAGTAGAAATTTTTACGTACCGAAACTTGTGTCGAATCTTGTGATTGAAGTTCCATTCTTATACCAACGGAAGGGTATGACTCCGTTGAGTGACATTGTATCTCTGCGTTGATAAAATCATGTTAAACGTAAGTCGTTACTCAGAAAACTGAAAATTCAATTTGTAACTTCCTTTATTCCAGTCTTGAAAAGTTCATTCACAAAAGTTACATCATATACCACTCCCAATATTAATTTTGACTCAATCCGTAACCAACTTGATACTAACCGGGTGAAAAAGTTGGAAGCAAAAATACGTCGGTGTATTTTATTTTGGATCTTAAAGTTCACACTTTCAAAGTTCACCTATCTCTATTGTAGGAATCTATTCGCTCATTGTCAGTTTTTAACGCCGCACATTCCCGGTTAATTAACAAACTTTAACTTCTATAATCCCGAAGACCTATAGCCTGCAGGGTGACCATCTGCTTAGAACCAAAAATAAGCACGAGTGTCGAAAGGTTATTTTGGGGGTACTTAACAACGGCAAAACCGCAGAATAGAAATGAGAAAAAAATCATACACAGTTCTCATCTTCTATACTACAATTTTTTGTCCGCACATATTCTATTAGAATTCGAATCGAACGAGGTTGCATGCATCGATGAAATCACAGAAGGTCATTAAAAGCCACGGAATCACAGACACACGCAATCTTTAGACATTCAGCATTCGACATCTTGAACAGGAAACAACAACCAACTGGTTTATTTAATGAGAGGTGCAGGCAATCTACCCCATATTGTGCGTAACATATTAATTATTATAAACCATAAACGATAACACGAAAGATTCATTCATGTTTCTAAAACAAAATAAGCACGGAACTCTAAAATAAGCACTTTTCTCAGAAATAAACACATCGTTACTTTATAAGACATGGGTTTAGAAAATAGGCATAAATCCTAGAAATACACACGATGTGGTAACCCTGCCAGATTGTGGTAGATTAGTAACCATTTTATAATAAATTCTATGTATATCAAAATTCTTTACTTTTCCGCTGATGAAATACCCTGGAACTCAGCAAAAATTCCGTCGGGAGTTTCTCTAAAATATTTGATCGCATAACATGGTACATCGCGTTCAACTGGACCATTGGTGTTTAGAATTTGATACCAAGAATCAGGAAGCTGGAATATAGTGATACAAGATTTTTACAGAAGATGTTGGTAAATTCTCTGAGACTACGTGGTTAAATTAATTTTTTCAGTATAGAAGAGATACATTCCTTACATAGATAGGCTATATACAGCTGGTGGCGTGATTTAAACCCCTTTTATCGTCAAGTATTTGTTCTTTCAAATATATTCAATAATTTTTAGGTATGCTCACCATATTATAATTGACTTCAGCCGACACAGGCAATGCGCAATTGTTGTTATCACGGCGATATCCTGGTTTTCCAACTACCGGGCTGGACAACAAACAAACGATCAAAATGGAGACACAACTTGAGAAGATCATTGTTACTCGTTTGACAGTCTTCAACGAAATAATAAAATATGCCCAGATAAAGCAATATCAAATCGGAAATGTCAGAAAAAGGGACTATACTTCCCTACGTTTTCCTCACGTGCAACTAAACGTGCAATGCATTGCACACGTTTTCACTGCATGTTCAGTCTATGCAATATCAAAATGCAGACATTACGAGATTCTTTGCTTTCAAATAAGATCATTCTTGTCAATTACAGCAAAGACAAGTTACGACAGAACAAGGAGCGATGCTCAAAGATATGGACTCAAATAAACCTAAAATACATGCACACAAATCACCACCTTCAAAGTGCCGAACTTTGTAAAAAGGCCCTGATTTAAATGCAACGTCACCATCTTCGACGCGGTGTAAAATTTAATAATACATTTATTTGCTACGGGAAATTTATATTCTATCTATAAAAATGAAAATAAATCACATTTAGGTTAAGAAGCATTCAAAATAATTCCCATTGGCAACAGTATGAGGTAATATTGCCTATTCTATATTGGTGTTTCCTAAAACTTCATTCATTGCATGGTATTTGTTTGTTTAAACGCCAGAAACTTCCACAAATGAGGAGCGCGGTCTCATCTTTGCATGCATATATGCTCAACTGACCGAGTCAAAAAAGATTGGACAAGCCTGGCGGCAAGCCACGTGGAGGCGCAACGTAAGTAAAACTAAAGACTATATATAACACAAGCGAAGCCAACTTTCATATACCGGTGCATCACTACTCAACTGAACCTGCAAACAGAATTTGGTATTGGACCGATAGTTTAATTTGTGCAATTTTAGATGCAATCGGCAGGTCATACAGTTCTCCAGAATGTGTTAATCTGTCTCTGTCTTCGCGCTATGGGTAAGTTAAGAAAACAAGATCATTTACCAAGAACTAATATGTTTGTTTTGCTGTTACTGAATTAACAACACAAGATGCATACAAATTGTAATCTGGAAGTTCAAAAACATTCTTTATTTCAATATGTGCATTGGTATAAAAGTGAAAGGTTATTACTCTTTTTAAACTTTTGTGTGGCATGTCTGCATACATGTTGTTCATTGCATGGTTTATAATATTTCACAGTGGCGGCGCGTGGTCATTTTGACAACTGGGGCAAGCTACTGCGGGACCAAGTCACCCCCATCTACGGGGACAGGATGAGCGCTGTAAGTTCTCCCATCATTTTATGAGTATAAAAACAATTCCATCGGTAACAACCAATCGGCAAAAGCGACAATTTTTAACGATATGAAAGTGTCTTTAAAACCGGTCCAAGTCAAGGGATTAATAAATATAGACATAGTTTATTTTGAAACCTCTTTCAAAAGGAAAGGCAATATTTACCCAGATAAATACAATGACATATTAACAGAAACTTCGGGAAAGCAGACAAAACCTAAAATAAGGTTTAAAACGTTACTATGAAGAAAGGAAAGTTAATGCAAAGATAAGGACATGCGTCGCTCACTCATAGATATATATATGCTGCTAGACTTCTACTGCTTAAACACATATGCAACACGCCGCGGTTTCTTGGAAGCAAAATGCTCAATAACGCGCTGATTAAAGTCATGCATCCCAGAAATAACGTCTCTGTGAATGGATAAAACAGCCAAGGAACTTAATCTATCTTGCTTCATTGTGTTTCTGAGATACGTTTTAATACGCTTCAGCGTGCTGAATGTTCGCTCTGCGTCGGCGGAAGAAATAGGCGTCGTCAAAATGATGTCCAGAAATTTTGCAGACGCCGCAAAGGTAGTTACTAGAGTGTTATCTATGAGGAACCCATAGAGCGCGCAAGTTGATGTGATGTTCAAAAAAGTTTGATTGGTGTATATACATCGCAATTCATTTTCCAATTTACCCACGTTTATCATGGGGTAAAATTTGGAGACAGTAGCCAACAAATGGATGGGAAATTGACGTGCAAATTTTGAAAAATTTTTGGGGTTCATCAAAGAGAACGCGGCAAGGTGTTCAGTGCGCAGACGATCGCCTATTTGATTTACCAGAATGTCACAGCATTCCTTTGCAGACAAAATCAAACGCTGCGTTGTTTGCCCGTGGCGTAAAGAAGCACTCCATGTGTCGTCGTATTTTATTGTTTCCCGGATACGAGATACAGCATCGCAGAAGTCTGAAATACACGACTGCACAGACGCTCCATCCATTAGCCTTGACTGCAATGCGCCGTATAATACATCCACGTGATAGAATATTGTGGAGAAAAAAGCGAGAAAAAATGAAAACTCACCATCTTCTAGCAGACGCTTTAGACCTGCCGCCTCCCTCACAGAGCGTTCGTCCCAAACCGGAGAGCTCTGAATGCCATTGAAACACTCAATGAGCTCAGACCTAATTTCGGACACGCCCTGCACCACGCGTGATTGGAAGTTCCAACGTGTTGGTGCACAAGCTGGGAGACGGCGGCTACATATCTGGCGAAGAAGGTCAGAGCGCTTCGGCGATACGGAAAAAAATGAAGAAAACCCCGAAACATTTGCAAAAAATATACGGACGAGAGGGGTATCAAGACACATATTTTTAATAACGAGGTTAAATTGGTGTGCATAACAATGTAAAAAATGCGCATGAGGAAAATCTTCTTTTATATAAACTTGAACACCATGTTTCGACCCACTCATGACTGCCGCGCCGTCATAAGTTTGAGCTATCAATTTTGACTTCGCGTTGTAAGGCTGTAACACTTCTTTCAGTACAGCCGATATCCCGCAAGCCGTGCGACCAACGATTGGTACAAAGCTGTGAAATCTCTCGGTAGGTTTACCATCTTTCACAAACCGAAAAATCACAGCCAGTTGGGAAACGCACGTGATGTCAGTTGTCTCGTCAGACTGAATCGAAAGGAACTGGCAATTCTCAATTTCCAGAGCCAAATGTTGTAAATAAATTTTATACATTGAGTCGAGCAAATCATTTTGGATATCCTTAGATGTCCCTTTCGAAACAGTTGCGGCATCAAGATGATCTCTCAATACTGTATCTAGGGATGCGGTGTATTCCACCATATCCCAAAATACCCCTTCATTAGAAGAGCCAGCCCGTTCATCGTGCCCACGGAGGGACAGCTCGTGACAACCAATGAACTTCAAAACATCTATCAATCGACCGAGAACATGGCGGTTTTTCTCGACGTTTTGGTTGTGCCGACGAATAGAAACCGCGCGTCCTTCATCCAACTGTGCTGCAATATTAACATTTCCGAATGTTCGGTATTTTACTGCATTGTCCAGATGCTCCATAGAAGATTGATGATCCCTGGCACGCTCGGAAAGATGTCTAAGATCTCTAAAACCAAATTTACACCAACGTGAGTCACGGGCGGTAGCAAAAAGTAGGCAATAAAAACAAAAAAGTGCACTTTTGTTCTCGCTGTAACACAACCATTCGTGTTTTTTATACCAAGTTTCTGCGCAGAATGTACGCCGACGCTTTCCTCCGTCATGGGATTGTTCCAGTGAACAATTTTTTGGTTGATAAGGCCCAAGACGTTGTACCTCTAATTTTTGTTCCAGCGGCAGCTGCGAAAACGGAGTGCGAAGTAGTGCATCAACCTTATTCATTATGAGGTCTAAGGCTAAGAAATGCGAAGCCGGAAAGAAGTGAGGAGCTCAAAAGGAATGTGGAAAATCGAAAGCAAATGGACTAAAGGGTCTAACTGATTCAAATAGCGAAACAAGCGACAAAAACGAAGGCGAGGAAACTATCAACTCTTCAAGCAACCAACGAACGAGAAGTAATGCGTGAATATGTCAACACGTTGTTGTAAGAAACGTCGGCATTGTGTCGTCATAATTTCGGGGCTAGCCCCGATCGGCCCCGATGGTTTAGTAAAAGAAACAGAAAACAAACGAGACAAACGCGGCGAGTGGAAGATAAAAGAGAGAATACGATATACAATGAGCAACCGGGGCAAAATCGGCGTCGCCCCGTCGACGTTCGGCGAAGGCTTTGCGAGCGAAAAATGAACCATGTCGGGAGAATATGGCTAGTGTAGACAGTCTGTGCAACCGATATTGAGGTATTTTTCGAATATTTTTTATTATCGAAATCGAAAAAACAACCGGGGCATTTCCCCTGTTGGCCCTATTGACGCGCCGCCACTGATATTTCAATTTATAATATCATACATATATTACATTTACAGTCAATGATTAGACTATGATGAAGTATTGGGACGTAGGCAGCTTTTGTAAACATTTTGCCAACATTTATGTTAATGCCAATTGAGCCATTTCAGACCAACCAAAATTCTAGAAATGCAGAAATATTTTACAAAAAATATATTCAAGCTTTAGAAGTCGAAAGGTGAAAATTTAGAATCAGCTACTTTAATTATGTCATATTTTATAATGCTAAATCGATTCATCTTCTCACCACTACAAGTGCTTCGATCACTTCCATCCTCAAAAATAGCACGGTTTTAAACAATTTACAAGTCGCCAGACATCACTTCTCAGTTTAATGTTGAACATCCACAAATATTATCAGTTAAACCACAAACTTGTTCCACGTGTCCCAATTGTACCACGTGTCACGGAGAAGTGGGACACGAAACAAGTGGGTCCTGTGTCTCTAAAATGTCCTGTCCCACTTGTTCAAAGTGTACCGAAGGAGTGGTACAAATGGAAAACGTGGTACAAGGGGGGAAAGCGGTACAAGTGGAACACGTGGGACACATGGGACACGGACATTTTGTAGACACTCCAATAGGACCACAACAATGCGATGGAAATTTTTATGATCATGCCTATGTGCTTGAGTCCTATTACAGTAATATCACAAGTAGAGCTGTAATTATCCAGCACAAGCTTCGTTGAGTATTCTGACATTTTTTTTATTATGTTAATGCTAGTAAATAAATGATCACTGTCACTCAGTTAGGCAAACGATCAAAATGGAGACACAGCTTGAGAAAATCATTGTTACTCGTTCGACATATGCCCAAATAAAAATTCGGGAATGCCGACAAAGTTAAGTTCTTCGCTGCGTTTTTCTCACATGCTACTTAAAATGCAAAACATATTACGCCCGTTTCCACTGCAAGTTCAGTTCATTCAATATCACAATGCAGACGTTACGATATTCTCTGTTTGTCAATGACATCATTCTTGTGAATTCAGGCAAAAACAAAGTCACGGCAAAACAAGGAGCGATGCTTAAACATATGGACTCAAATGAATCGAAAATATATGCACGAAAATCACTACCTTCGAAGTGCCTAGCTTCGTATGAAGCTAATTTCAAGATAACTCCATCATCTTCAATGCAATTTCAAATTTATCGAATGATACTTTTGTTTAAAATTTATATTCTATCTTAAAATTAAAATAAGTGGAAAAAGTCGCATTTTACCAAAGAAATGACGTATTTCATCCGCGGTTAAAATGCATCCGAAATAACTCCCATTGGCGACAACATGCAATGATATTGCTTGATGTTTTATAAAATGTCATTCACTTTATGGTATTTGCCTGCTTAAAAAAAACGCTAAAAACTTCCTTAAATGAGGCTTGTGGACTTGTCGTCGCATGCATATATGCGCGACCGACCACCGACGGAGTATACCAAAAAGATTACACAAGCCCGACATGACACGTGGTGACGCAAAGTACGTGAAACCAGCCAACAACAACAATTTCAGGAATTTATTCTTGCGATTTTCACCAGAAGATTTGCATGTAAAGCGATGCAGAGTTCGGTATCTGCCTCGGTTGCGCTATTGCTGTCGCCTGAACTCTCTTCACGAAAGTCAATGTCTCGCGGCTACTAAGTCTACGATTAACCGTTACACACTTCTTACATGTTCTCAACAACTTGCGTTTTTTTTTTCGATGAAAAGACAAAAGATGACAATGATTGTTAAATTAGTATTGTTGAAAGTTATAGTAAGTTTAATTTGGTGTCCTAAAGTTGATTTTTCTCTTAACAAGATTTATAAGAAGATATTGTACCTGCTCTGTTAAAATTCATCACGATTATTGGGTTATTTTGCGATATGTTTAACATTGTATACCATTAATTACATATAATTAGACTTACCATACGTCCCGCTTTTCAGCGTTTTGTCCCGCTGTCCCGATAAGTCAGCCAAAAGTCCCGCTTTTCCAGCATAATACACAAACTTGTTCTCGTTACTGTCAATTCTGTGTAGCGCAGCGCTAGCCTACTTACTGAAGGTGAATGCGTCGTTTCCCGCTGATTCCCATTGATGGCAGACGTATCGCATGTAAAACCAATACTAATTAGTCTAAATTCGAATTATTTGTACCGGTATCGTTAACGTCAATTCCTTCCTATTTTTCAAACTGAACCCGATATTTGGACAGTGAAGATGCGCATGAAATTTCGATAACAATGTGGTCAATAAAGACAGTCGAGACAGCTTTAAATGTAGGCCTATGTGGTAAAATCGGAAAATGTGAAGTTATAAGATCACAGCTAATGGGTCGTTGTCTTTCGAGGCGTCCCGATTTGAAGTCACAAAATATGGTAACCCTACATATAATTGGGAAGATATTTCGATTCTCAATTACCTTATATAAAATCCATCACCGAAACTAATCGTTCGCCGTCATCTCATAATGGTGTGCATGTTTTGCCGACCTTTGACCCTACGAAAATATTTCATAGACATTGACACAGAAATAGAACTCGTACCTTCGGGAAACATTCATTATATTGTACTCTTCTTAATATAGTAAAGTAAAAATCACGTTTCCCATTGGTGAAATCAAAACTGACAATTTCATGATCACTTTTATAAATTATAATGCTTTGATTGAGGAAGTAAGCAGGTTTGCTTCCATGACTAATTAGGGAAAGGCAGCAGTTGTTGCCATTTCGAATCGAGCGATTTCATTGATGTCGATTATTCTGCATTGACAATGTAACGTCATAAATACTTTCCAATTCTCTCTTTTCAGGTCCAAAGTATATATGGGTTCACAGTCGTAATCCACATCCCACTGCAGAAAACATTCTACGAGTACACAACAAACTTGTTACTATCGGTGGTGGCTGGAGCGCAGTTCCATTGTACCTATCGGGCTGTCGTAAATTTAGCATGCCAGAAACAATTGCTTATTAAATTGCCAATGTGTACATATTTGTTAACCGAGGGTGCTTATATTCACATAATACCTAAATATTATTTCTATTATATATAATCGATGTTATACAATGCTAAACATATCGGAAAAGTAACCCAGTAATCGCATAACCTATTTGAAAATGTAAGTTATAAAATAAGTTTGTCATAACTAATAACATCGCCCTTTACTTTAGGAGGGCAGAATAAAATTGCTAGAACATTTAACAATTAAAAATTAATAATTATAGGTAGATTTTGCCTTTTCCTTTTAAAAAAAAAGTCGTAGAAATTATGTTCGAAGCTAAACGCCTCATTCGGCAAATCATAGTCCAAGTATCAGGCCAGACATTGACTTTAGATCAGACATATTGCGCTACAGCAACAACGCATCCGAGTCAGACACCGGATTATTCATCAATGCCTTTATCTTCTGATTAAATTCGCAAGCATAGCTTACAAAAAATTTGGACTGGTCTTACGTACGTCAGGCTTGTCATATCTTATTTGGCTGACTCGGTTGTACAAATATTTTTTTTAAATGGATGCTTGATTAGTTATCAAATGAAATCGAAAGTTAATATGTAGAAATGAGAATTTACCTTCCAAAGCAATTAAACCTGCCTCATTTAACTCCCAAAAATTCGAAAAAAAGAATGTTGAATTGTTGTCAAAGTAATCAGTAGGTCATTTTTTCACCCTTCTGAAAATACACTTTGCACGAACAAAATAACGAAAATAAAGCAAAAAATGGCAGTTCAGTGTGAACCGCGCAGAACACTACTGGTTATCTAATAGGGACATTCGTGATTAAGTATAACAGTAAATATTGAAGAAGAAGAAAATGCATAAAATGTTTTGGAACATAAATTCATTTAGTGTAATATTTTTCACAAACCGAAACGTGAGTCGAATTTTGTGATTGAAGGGTATGAATCCGCTCATTAACATTGTTCCCCTACATAGGAAAAATCATGTCAAACGTGAGTTCTCACTTGAAAGTCTCATTCACACCTTTCTTTAAGTCGAGCGTTGGGATTTGTTTATATAAGTTATATTGCATATCCATGCTAGGGATGAGAAACAGAAAAGTCAGTTCACGTGAAGCTAATTAAAAATGAAAATATTTTATCTTGTGCGCCTTATATTGGATATTTACTTTTCTTTATTTTGGATATTTACGTTCCATCGACGTATTTCCAACGTGATTTTTGAATAAAACATATATACTTTCGCCGAACTATCTTATATTTGTAGCTTTTTGTTAGCTAGTTAAATTTGAAGTGCGGCGCGAGACAAATTCACAAAAGGGGGTGCAACAGCTAGCTTGTGCCAAGCGAACAACGCATATCATGAGATCATTAATCAAATGTTATGTGCGTGTAACTACTAGGAAGCTTATATAAAAGTGCGGTTCGCGGATTCATCCAGTTTATTTGCATCTGACCCTCCTGTAATAAAGGTTGCACACTCCTCGTATAAACGGAACGAACGGGAAACGTTGGTACAGTAGCCGGATGCGTTGACCTGCATTATAGTTCATTTCTTCGTTCTAGGAATTTCTTCCCGACGAAGAAACACAGATCATGATTATACTTCGTTATGGCTTGGACAGAAAAAAAGACAAATTATACCCAAGCATCTATTTCGAAAAATATCTGTACAACCGAGTCAGCCAAATAAGATAGGACAGCGCAACGTACGTAAGACCAGTCCAAAATTTTTTGTAAGCTATGCTTGCAAATTTCATCAGAAGATTCGCATTCAAAAGGCACTGATGAATAATCCGGTGTCTGACTCGGATGCGTTAATGCTGTAGCGTAATATTTCTGATCTAAAGTCAATGTCTGACCTGATACTTGACTACAATTGACAGACTACGATTTGCCGGATGAGGCGTTTAGATTCGAACATAGTCCCTACGACTTTGTTTATAAAGGAAAAGGCAAAATCTGGCTTTAATTATTAATTTTTATTGTTAAATGTTCTAACAATTTCATTACGCCCGTCTTAAAGTTAAAGGCGATGTCATTAGTTAGAACAAAACTTATTTCATAACTTACATTTTCAAATAGGTTGTGCGATTACTGGGTTACTTTTTTGATATGTTCAGCATGGTATAACATCGATTATATATATTAAAAATAATACTTTAGTAATAGGTAAATTTAAACACACTTGGTTGACAAATATGTATAGACATTAGCATTTTAATAAGCAATTGTTTCTGGCATGCTTAATTTACGACAGCCTGATAAGTACAAGGGAACAGCGTTCCAGCCACCTCCGATTGTTACAAGCTTGTTGTGCAGGCGTAGAATATCTTCTCCAGTGGGATGTGGATTACGACTGAGAGCCCATATATATCTCGGACCTGAAAAGTAAGAATTGAAAGTCTTTTCACATTACGCTATCAATACAAAGTAATTGATTTCCCAAATGACCAAGTGAATTAATTTTGATTTCAAAAATGGGAACGTGTTTTTGACATACAATTTTTAAAAGAATGCCATGTCATGTTTCCAAGAGGTTCGAGTTTCTTATTTATTTCTGTGTCGATGTTTAGAAAGTATTTTCCTGGGGTAAACATCCATATTATTGGCAGATAACAAAGAACGAAAAATTCTATAGATTTAAAGTGAGAAAATTGTGAATCGAAATATCTTCTCAATAATTAAAATCCGAGTATTATAACTAAACTTCCCGTGCAAGGCTTGGTGAATGTACAGTATTTAAGAATACAATGTTAAACTGATATTTGTTTGTATTAAAGCAGGAAAGTATTCGGTTGAAATTAATACCGACCTTCTCCGCCACACTGCAAGCATAATAAATAATGCTCGTAATCTGTAAAGCAACTGAACGGATGCTCATAGGAGTCCTGCATCTCTGCAATGCAAGAAAGTGTATTTATTAATCAGCTCTGTCATTATCTTTCTCTATGCATTCACGTTGGGTACATGTGTCTAGTAGTATAAAGCTTGTATTTTGAGAATAAGTTTGTTCAATAAGAGTTCAACATTAGGGTTGTTTGAACTTTGGCACTTACTTGTTTTAGAATAATATTCATTACCAAAAAACAGTACAAATTGGGCATTTATGGACTGAAGAATTTCTGTATTTTTTCGAGCGAATTGGAAAAAGATAATTAGGGCGTATACAATCTAATATGAATAACGGTTCATGGCACTTAAAGCAGTAGAAAAATGGTAATTGTTTAAATATTTTTAATTTACATTTTTGGGCATGACTATATATATTTGTAACATAGGTGTTTTCTGAGTGCATATGATTTTGCATCAATATTTCAACTAAAATAATTTATGGCAAAATTATGAAATTATCATAAGAGTTCACCTCCCGACGCTCCGTTACGTTTTTCCACATCCATCCCCAGGAATTCTGCAAAAAATGATCATTTTTCATGTAAGTTTAAAGTTGTTTAAATATAAATTTAATAGGTGTAAGTGAAATTTTTTTTGCAAACCGAAACTTGTGTCGTATCTTGTAATTGAAGTTCCGTTCTGATACCAACGGAATGGTATGACTCCGCTGATTGACATTGTTCCTCTGTGTAGAAAAAATTATGTTGAACGTAAGCCCGTACTCAAAAATTAAAAATTCAATCTGTAACTTCCTTTACGTCGGTCATGAAACATTTATTTACAAAAGTAATATCTTAAATCACTCCCAGCATCAGTTCATCGGATATCCGGTTGAATTCATTCTACTATGATTTGTTACACCAGTTCGTCGGCTGTTACAACATTTGTAAATCTTAAATTCAGAAAATGTCAGACAGGTTTTCACTGAAAAAGCCAGATTTATATTTTTGGTAGGAAAAACTTTAGCTCAGTATCGAGGTGCAAATTTAATTTTGGCTCAATTCGTAACCAACTCAATGCTGACCGGACGACAAAGTTAGAAGCAATGATACGTCGGTGTGTTCCATTTCGGATCTAAAGTACCCATTTCAAAAGTTCACCTAAATCTATTCGTTCGACTATATTCGCTATTGTCAGCTATTAACGGCGCTTAATCCCGGTTGAAAATTTTTTTACCTCCTATAACAAAGAATCATAAGAAAATGCTTACAGAAATCGATTAGCAAGTAAGCCTGACCATTTTATAATAAATTATCTAAGGATATCAAAATTCTTTACTTCTCCGCTGATGAAATACCCTGGATTTCAGCAAAAATTCCGTCGGGAGTTTCTCTGAAATATTTGAATGCGTAACATGGCACACCACGTTCAACTGGATCATTGGTGTTCAGGATGTGATACCAAGAATCAGGAAGCTGCAATATAGTGATGCAAGATTTTCACAGAAGATGTTGGAAAATTCTCTAAGACTACGTGGTTAAATCCTTAATCAATTTTTTTAATATAGAAGAGATACATTCCTTACATAAATATATACAGCTTGTGGCGTGATTTAAATCCCTTTTATCGTCAAGTATTTGTTCTTTCAACTCAATTCAATAATTTTTATGAATGCTCACCATATTATAATTTACTTCATCCGACACAGGCAATGCGCAATTGTTGTTTTCACGGCGATATCCTGGTTTTCCCACCACCGGGTTGAACAACGAGCAAACGATCAAAATGGAGACACAACTTGAGAAGATCATCGTTACTCGTTCGACTGTCTTCAACGAAATAATAAAATATGCCCAGATTAAGCAATATTAAATTGGAAATGTCAGAAGAAGGGAGAACACTTCCCCACGTTTTCCTCACGTGCAATGCACTGCACACGTTTTCACTGCATGTTCAGTCTATGCAATACCAGAATGCAGACGTTACGAGATTCTTTGCTTTTAAATAAGATCATTCTTGTCAATTCAGGCAAAGACAAGTTACAATAGAACAAGGAGCGATGCTCAAAGATATGGACTCAAATAAACCTCAAATACATGCACACAAATCACCAGCTTCAAAGTGCCTAACTTCGTATAAAGGCCCTGATTTCAAGGTAGCGTCACCATCTTCAATGCGGTGTCAAATTTAACGAATAATACATTTATTTGCTACGGGAAATTTATATTCTATCTATAAAAATGAATCACATTTAGGTTAAGAAGCATTCAAAATAATTCCCATTGGAGACAATATGAGGTAATATTGCCTATTCTATAATGGTGTTTCCTAAAACTCCATTCATTTCATGGTATTTGTTTGTTTAAACGCTAGAAACTTCCACAAATGAGGAGCGCGGTCTCATCTTCGCATGCATATATGCTCAACCGACCGATTCAGCCAAAAAAGATTGGACAAGCCTGGCGGAAAGCCACGTGGTGGCGCAACGTACGTAAAACTAAAGACTATATATAACACAAACGAAGCCAACTTTCATATACCGGTGCTCCGCTACTCAACTGAACCTGCAAACAGACTTTGGTACTCGACTGATAGTTTAATTTGTGAAAATTTAGATGCAATCGGCAGGTCATACAATTCTCCAGAGTGTGTTATTATGTCTCTGTCTGTCAGGAAAACATGACCATTTACCAAGAACTAATATGTTTTGTTTTGTTGTTACTGAATTAACAACACAAGACGTATATAAATTGTAATCTGGAAGTTCAAAAAATGGAAGACATGCAAATTTTCTGTATATATTACAATTTCTTTATTTCTATATATGCATTGGTAAAAATGTGAAAGGGTATTCCTTTTTTCAAATTTTTGTGTGGCATGTCTGCATATATGTTGTTCATTGCATGATTTATAATATTTCAATTTATAATATCATACATTTATTACATCTACAGTCAATGATTGGACTATGATGAAGTATTGGGACGTAGGCAGCTTCTGTAAACATTTTGACAACATTTATGTTGTTGCCAATTGGGCCATTTCAGACCAACCAAAATTCTAGAAATGCAGAAATATTTTACAAAATATATATTCAAGCTTTAGAAGTCGAAAGGTGATTATATAACCAATAAAAAATTTAGAATCAGCTGCTTTAAATATGTCATGTTTTTTAATGCTAAATCGATTCATCTTGTCACCACTACAAGTGCTCCGATCACTTCCATCCTCAAAAGTATCTCGGTTTTAAACATTTTACAAGTCGCCTGACATCACTTCTTAGTTTCATGTTGAACAACCACAATTATTATCAGTTAACCAACAAACTTGCATTGTACCGAGTTTGTGATGTATGCTACGCATTTCTCAATATATTTCAGATATTTACAATAGGATCCGTGTCTCCAAAATGTCGTGTCCCACTTGTCACACATGTCCCACTTGTGTACTTGAGTCCTACAGTAATATCACAAGTAGGGCTGTAATTATGCAGCACAAGCTTCGTTAAGGAATCTGGATTTTTTTATCATGTTAATGCAAGTAGGCCTAAATAAGTGATCACTATCACTCAGTTAAGCAAACGATCGAAATGGAGACACAGCTTGACAAGGTCATTGTTACTCGTTCGACCGTCTTCAACGAAATGATGAAATATGCCTAGATAAAAATTCGGGAATGCCGACAAAGTTAGGTTCTTCGCTGCGTTTTTCTCACACGCTACATAAAATGCAAAACATATTACGCTCGTTTCCACTGCAAGTACAGTTCATTCAATATCGCAATGCAGACGTTACGATATTCTCTGTTTGTCAATGACATCATTCTTGTGAATTCAGGCAAAAACAAAGTCACGGCAAAACAAGGAGCGATGCTTAAAGGTATGGACTTAAATAAACCTAAAATACATGCACACAAATCACTACCTTCGAAGTGCCTAGCTTCGTATGAAAGCTCTAATTTCAAGATAACTCCATCATCTTCAATGCAATTTCAAATTTACCGAATGATACATTTATTTAAAATTTATATTCTATCTTTGAAAATTTAAATAAGTTGAAATTAGTCGCATTTTACCCAAGAAATGTTGTATTTCATCCGCGGTTAGAATGCATCTGAAATAACTGATCTGATAAATGATATTGCTTGATGTTTTATAATATGTCATCCACTTTATGGTAGTTGACTGCTTAGCTTAAAACTTAACTTAAATGGTAGACTGCAGATCTTCGTCACCGGACTAGGGCTACCAACCGCCCCGGAATGACCAGGACAGTCCGGGAATTGACGTCTGGCTTCATGTGTCCCGGGCTAGGCTACAGTTGTCCCGAAATTTACTGACAACCACGGCGTTCTAAAATTGAAAGCTATGTAAGTTGACCAGTTTTTCCAACGCAGTTTGTCATACTTACATAAATAGTATGATTAGGAGCATTCGTGTTCCAAGGATATAGCCCCACTTGCTCTTTAAAATGACATTGAATGGTCAGGCCTGTTGTCACTTGTTGAACGCTTGGGCATAAGTCTCGACTGAAATAAATTGTATGAAGAACTGTGTGCGCTGAGAAAGGTTCGCAGTGAAATTTTACGTTTAACTGATGACGTTTCAAACAGATGGGTGAAGTTATTTGCCACTCAGCAGCCAGACGATACACAACTGTTACGTCTTGTGTTATTACTTATCGATTTTAATCGGTAAGTATGTTGATAGGTATTTGTCTGTATGTCTGTCTGTTTGTCTGTTAGATGCACGCCATATCTCACGAAAGCGAGATTGAATCTGCTTCAGATTTTGCATGTGCATTTCATCTTATCTCGGACCAGAAGCCTATTGATTTTGGGCGAATTATGTCGTATAATTAGCGAGTTATCAATCAATTATTGATATAGTGATCTAGATTTTTGTAAAGCGAGAGAATTTTGAGACCCGCCGAGTGTGTGTGTGCGATGCGCAGTGCGCAAGTTACAAGAGCGGATGAATCGAAACTGCAGTTTCTGTTTTGGGGGATCCCCTAACTATCGATCGATAAGTCTTCGGTTTCCAACCGATATTCTCGTTTGTCTTGTCAATTCCAGTGCCAAACGCGAATTTATGAATGCACTTTGGGCCAACAATAGGAACAAACTAAACTTTAATCTCGTTAAAGTTGAACTTATGATGAAATTGAACTTTCATATGTCATGCAACGAGTTCATAAGCAAAGACAAAATCTTCCCAATTAAAGGGACAAAATCACAAGAAATATACAAATTTAAATACCAGACAGACTACTTGGCAATAATTGTGCATTTTCCCTCTTTTAGTGTTTTTTTGCTTTTATGCTCCAAAGATTCAACATTTCACAAGTTTCTTTGATTATGATAAAATTATTTAGAGGCTTGGTGTTTGTGAAAATAACGCTGCACGATCATTACTCTTTGACGCGCAGCGCACTGTTGCTTTTGATGTCTTTCGTGTTCACAAGCTTCTATTTAATCGGGTTTTAAATTCTAGACGTTAAGGTGTCCCGGAATGGTTTAACACTAAGGTGTCAACCCTACACAGGACATGAAAAAGCAATGGCAGTCACCGTACCGTCACGGTACGATACAGGTACTGGTAAGTTACCGCATATGATTTTCGGGGAATTAGTGATGAAATATTTTGTTTTTCCCTCCGTGTCCACAAATTTGAGCATAGCTCTCTTGTTGGTCTGACCTGCTACATAGCCTACGATTAACCTAAGACACGTGTACCTGAATCCAACTTCAGACAGTTCCCACGACTAGAGTTTCTTGCAAATAAAATAGCAAAAGCTGACTATATGTTAAATGTTCTAGTAATTTTTATTTCTTGGCCTAAAATTAAACTATTTTTTACTAAGGAAAGACATTGTTACTGCTATTAAAAAAGGTGACTAGTGGTTGAAAGCTATAGTTATTTTATTTGATGTCTTAAAGTTACTCTTATTCCTGACAAAAGATTTATGAAATGATACTGTTATTGTTTAAATTCATCAACTACGGACGATTCGTTAAATGGTTAGTTATAGCAAATAGATTTTTCATATCAGAATCATGTAATCCTAAAACATATATTTCCAAATAAACGATGACTTGGTTACGTTAACATTGCATGGCAATATTTACATAGAATAGATAAAATATTTATATTTGGTAAATACAAATACACTTGGTTAACAAATATATAGGCATTATTAATAAGCAATTGCTTCAGGCATGCTAAATTTATGACAGTCGGATAAGTACAAGGGAACTGCGCTCCAGCCACCACCGATTGTAACAAGCTTGTTGTGAACTCGTAAAATGTCTTCTGCAGTGGGATGTGGATTACGACTGTGAACCCATATATACTTTGGACCTAAAAAGTGAGAATTGGAAAGCAGTTAGGTGTTACATTGCCAATGCAGAATGATCGACATAAATAAAATCGCTTGATTTAAAATGGTAACAACTGCTGCCTTTTCCAAATTAGCCTTGGAAGCAAACCCGCTTCCTTTTTCAATCAAACCCGTATATAAGCAATCATGAAATTGTCAGTTTTGATTTCATCAAATGGAAACGTGATTTTTACAAGAGTACAATTTGGTGAATGTTTCCCGGAGGTTCGAGTTCTATTTCTGATATTATACTGATATTTGATTGTATTATTAGCTGTAGTATTTAGCTGGAATCAATACTGACCTTCTCCACCACACTGCAAGCACATGAAATAATGTTCGTAATCCGTGAAGCAACTCGACAAATTCTCCTTAAAGTAATGCATCTCTGCAATACAAGAAAGTGTATTTATTGGGTCCTGAAGTATGCGCACCAAGATGGCGCACAATCTGAACTCAGGTTGTGTACC